AGTTGAGTCTCTCGTGAAAACCAAATTGATTTGCAAATGAGTGTATTTCTCGAAAACAGCCCAATTTGGGTTCAAGTAGAACATAAGGTTGATGCAAACTCGGGGACTGCGCCTACCTGATGAGCCTCAAGAAGAGCGAAACCGGTCGTGGGCTGTCAAAGTGTTTTCAGCAACCTTGTGAGTAGTTTCCTGTATGAAAATAACAATCCTGTTTAAACTGTCCCACAAAGTCTTCTGATTAGAACGCATGGAGTGAATCTGTATATACAAAGCATTCTGAATAGAAGTAACCGTACCGAGAATTGTATCAAGGCTCCACTGCAAACCCATACGTCACTAAGAGTATCTCGAAAGGTTTTCGTTTCCAGTGACTTACCATTGTCATTCATATCAGCAGAACAGACCTCACCACATTGAACACAGTAGGTATCGTCGTCTGTTTGTGTGATATTTGGTCGACCTGCAGTTGACTGATGGTTTCCCTCCTTTAAAGGCACGCATACCTTTAAGACAAACAGCTGTAGGGACGGATACCAGCGATAGGGGTAAAACCCTGTGTACAGATAGAAGAGTGAGAACAACTTTCCGGTGGTTCTATAGGAGTATTTATGTAAACTTTTATGTGATTAGAAAGAAAACTGTGAAACCGGAGCCTCTGGCTTCAAGAACCTCCCTTTTTCCAACCGGAGTGAAGACAGTTTTTTGAGAAATTCCGCATCCAAGCAAGTAACCAACCTGGCCATGCAAAGAGAAGTAACGTGTGTTAAAATTTGATTTACGAACAAACTTTGTTTTCAAGTTTTTCACTAATTCGAAAAAACTGTTCAGCTGTAGCGCCCTAGCTACCATGCCACCCGAAGGTTACACGAGGGCCGGGATACTGCCAGGTTGCCCAAGTCTAGACAGGGGAAGTCGAGAGGCAGAGGTCGGGCTCGAACCATGGACCTTCTGGTCAGTAAATTCGCGCTCTAACGATCTCTCCCCCTTACACTATTTCAACGCAACCTAGATATGAGTAGTATTCCGCGTGAGAGGGGCAGGTTTTACCGTCTGACTGCACTCAAGCAGTTTCCTTTTAAATTTCATTTCGACGGCTTTATGTTGTAGGAACTCTATCCTGCTTCATGATCTATCTGCTTGGTATTTACCGGAGAGTTCATCCATCCTCTTGCTTGTCTGAAGTATGACCTCACACGAACGATACTCACTCTCTACTTCATAGCATACCATCAGGAGAACAAAAATCTCGAAGCCCTGTCGAGTTGCGGGAGATTTTACAGGAGGTTAAGAGCTTGTTGATTCCTCGGCACATATGTGTTCTGAAATGTGCCTCTATTCGAGTCTTTCCCACTTCAGACTCCGTGGCGGTACCTTGGTCTTATTTGTGCATTCAGAGAACAAAGTTAGAGTTCCACACAGATGATTTCTAACGGATTTCCACACAAAGGACGAATCACCTGTAATGTTGATTTCAAGCCTCAATGTAACATGTAAATCATTAGGACCGACTGACACCCCGCTCTGGGAGTTGGACATTCAGACGCTGAATAGCGACAAATTCAGCTGCTTTGGAATTTCAAATGCATCTTGGTCAGAAAATCACTTCACACAAATGGTGGTTTTCGATCGCGACAGCTGTTTTTGGCGCTGTGTGGTGCGTGTAAGCTTAAAAGGTTGGCGTGCGAATGACTGGAAATTGTAAGGCAATTTTTAAAACAACAGTTTGCTTTACTAGTGTGTTAAGAAAGTATTTGACAACACATAGTTCTGACATTACGCCCACACCTGGGCTGGTCAGCAACGTGGTTCATTTCTACATATATAACGAACAAGATGTAAGCAATGCTAATCTGACCACCGGTTCCCAAATTAAGGTGCTCAAAGTTGGAACATGCCTTCCCGAGTCCACTGTGCTTAGCAGTGCTCAAGAACTGTAAGTTTTACATGCAAATCTAACGTCATAAGAGTAATCGAAACGTTATTACGACCAGCAATTCGATAGCTTTCTACGCGTGACTAGTAGGTATGGAGTTGTTTAAAACGGTAATTTCCAGGTGCCTGTCATATTATTCTTCGTAAATGACAATCAACAGCGGGTTTGTTCTAGACATGAATTCATTTGAGTCGAATACATAAGGATACGTGATTTATTACTGTCAGTAATAGCTTATAGGCGCACAAATACACGTGAGTGAGAGGCAGACAAACAGGTATCATGACATAAGTTGGTTGCTGATACATAAGGACATTGTTTGAAGAGACTGAGGAAGGCAAAAGGACGACAAATGAGGACTGCCTCTGTAAATAGGGTTACTCAAGAGATCCAAACTTCCTCGTTGAGTAAAACACACTTGGATGAAGAAAGTTCCGTGTTTGAGTGCAGTCCATAGATAGCAGAGGCTAAAGTGTGCAGAAAGTCTGGTCATTTGAAAGCAGGGGTTATACATTGTCATCTTCAGAAGAGAGACAAGATCAATCCAGAAGTCTACATGGCCTGGATCACTTAGCGCGTCAGTAACGTTGTCACAGGAAACAAGAAAAGGATTTCAGTGGTTAACACTACCCCTGCGACTCGGTACTGGTATATGGAGTGATCTTTGTAAGGATAAAGAGTCGTTCAAGCCAGTTTACACCTTATGTCACTGGACTTATACATCCTCACAGTTATTTTTCATTTATCCATTATTCACTTTGTAATTTGCTGTTCATTTATTCATTTCAATTATTCATCTTTATTTTTTAGCGGCTCGTGTGAAGATCGGGCTTTTCCTCGAATGTCATCTATCCAGAGGTCAAACCGCAGCATCGACAAGGATGTACACTATGGAGTTCATCAGAAGGGTCAGAACATGAGAGCTATTCATAAGTGAGGTGGGGATAGTGTGTCCATGCGCATCATCTACCTCACAAAATCACAGGTATTGAGGGAATCAGCCTGATCGTTGTTCACTCTCCAATCCCTTTGAGTTTAAGACAAAACCATAATGTCATCGAGAGACGAACCCCCTTTGGAGAAAAGAAATTGATTTTTCAGGGTGGCACTTTTGCACAGAAAGGGCGCCAAATGGCACTGAAAAGATAAGCACAAGGATTTCACAATGTTGAGAACAACAGCAACTGAATTCTAAAGAACTACATTAACAGAGTAAGATTCGGCATTCACTTGTTAATATGTATAAAGTGAGCAGGAATATGCGATTCTGACCAATGATAATTATCCTAAGATATACGAGAATCCGAAAGGAAATCGAACTGGCTGAGGATTTTCTGTTTGGCCAAGTGAACTTGCGATGTGTAGACAACGATGCAGTCTGATGAAAGCCAAATGATTATCACTCACTGCTGTTGGTTTGAATGATTTATAGATGGGTGCCCGAGCGAATGAACAACGTGAACAGCATTCAGAAACTTCAGGCAAATGCCTATAGTCTAATCCAACCGCGATTGGTCGAAAGTTATTGTCCCGCGGAACCCGACTTCACATGGACTTGCAACCGACCAGCTATAAAGCATCCTTTACTAGAACCATCATTTTCTTTTGAATGGAAAGAAGAAGCGTTTTGCTTGTCATTCCGACCATCAAAAACGATAGTTTTTACACTGCCTTGCAGCAGTCGAGTGAAGGTTGTACGACAAGTACGTATTACTATATGGCGATAAAAAGTGCTGCTTCTGAAAAGCTGAGAAATTGTGAGTTTGTATGCTACGGTACCATCAGTCCTGGTTACAGCGGTATGGCATGCCCCCGTACGATCATCTTGAAAATATATAGAGCGAGCAAAACCGGGTCGCTTCCAATAGAGGTACGTGTTACTGCGAGCACTGTCTAGTGATGTGCTATAGACATAAAGCATTTCTGACACCTTCTGGTGAAAAACACTCATTTTCATGCCAATTTGTTTTTTAGGGGGATATCCAACGGAATCTCTCGTTTTTTCTTCAACTGAGTGTGCTCCAGCTGGCAGCCTCATGCTTCAGTTGATACAACACGCCAGCATCACACTACATCGCATAGGCGTAATACACTACTCATAAGGAAGCTGAAAACTCGTCGAAGACCGGTTTCCGCTATTTTTTGGGGTTTATCAGGTAAGCGCAGTTCCCGAGTGTCAAGCAACCTAATGTTCTACCCAGATTGTACGAAATTACGCAGACTAAACGCATTTTCATGCCAATTTGGTTTTTACGGGATATTCAACTGAATGAGTGTATTTCACTGACTTCGTGCAATTTGGGTTCAAGGAAAACATAAGGTTGATAGAAGCCCGAAGACTGCGCCCACCTGATGTACCTTAAGAAGGGCGAAATTGGCCTAACGAAGAATTTTCAACAACTTTGTGCGTAGTGTACTACGTCTACGCATTCCTTTATCGTTTTCTCCAAGCACTACAGTACATCGTTCTGGCCATAAAACAGAAGCGACTGATCTGAAACTCAACGCGGCTGCATTCAGTAGAGCTAAACCGGAATAAGTTGTGATGTCATCGTCACGAACGACCAAAATCCTTTCGTCCTACTATTGACTGGTAGGAAAGTTGAAGGATTGCGCCAGAAATCAATCAAGCAATTTTCGAATACCCCGACAGTCGGGGGGGGGGCAGCTCAAGTTGATAAATAGAATACTTTGCCCCCCTAAAAGGATATTTGAAGATTCTATGAATCGTTCTCTTTTATTGCATAGCCCTCATGCCACTCGAAAGAAGCAGAGGGCTGAGCGAGTACCAGGTCGCTTTGGATTTGTTAATATCAGCAAACTCGGCTAGGCAAACAACTGATGATCTCGGATTTTCCATGTTTAGACCTTATGAGGACTCGGCGAGCACACGTGGAAGTGCAGTCAAACTATGAGGTCAGTCAGTCGTCCGCAGTGTAAATCTATAAAGCTACTTCCGCGTTTAGATTCCGAGTTCGGATTTGCAATTATGCAGAGCCGAGAGCTCCTCCAAGAAAGCGTGTGCATGGGGCACAGAAAGTTTCATCTCTTTTTATCAATCTTGTTCTTCGCCGCACTTTTGGTTGGGTAATCCCGCCCACCAGATTTTCGATACAAATCACAGAGGTCCCTTTTTCCTTGGATACTTTCGATTACTACGGAGTAGAAACTTTTGATTAATGAAGCTAATTCGTCTCGGTTCGCAAACAACGATGTTTGCGACATGGAAAGAGCTGGAATTATTTGGGGATAGGGATTATCGAATAAGGATTGAAATCCGTCAGGACATCAGTTACAAACATTTTAGCAAATTTGGGTGTTGAAAAATAGCCGTCCTTTCAGAAGAAGCGGGATAAAATTTACCCATGCCTTTACTCTGATCGAGTCTATTCAATCAATAATTCCGGGCCGCAGGAATTCAAATTAAAATACACGCATCCATTTACAACCAGACATGCTGCACACCATCGAACATTGAGGGTAAACTTTCTCGCTCTAAAAAGAAGCAGGACACCAGGTGAAGTGTACTTTCGTGCTTGGAATCGGTGGGGGGGCATGTCAGGTGGGAGTATCTGAGTAGATGCTGGTTTGATTGAGGTGAAGTGTTCGTGCTTGGAATCGGTGGGGGGGGCATGTCAGGTGGGAGTATCTGAGTAGATGCTGGTTTGATTGATTAAACACTTTTATGTAGAACTAATGACCTTGTATCAATCCGTTATTGAACGACTGTCTGTACTATCCCCTCCTTCTGGACTGATACAACGTGTCATCTTCTGGTTTGCCATCTGTTTGCCTGATTTTGCGTGTTCATCTGGGTTGAAACTCAAAAGTTGGGTTCCAAAAATGATTGGAATTATACACAGAAAGCATTGCCTTTAGCAAAGTTAATAATGAAGCAGGTGATGTATCAACTTTGGGGTTTTTCGTTTGATTACATCTTTCGTATAGTGTTTAACGTTATGTGTATCAGGATAAATATTTGTACCTGAGTTTATGTTTTTGTGTAGCATAAACGTTAAACACTTCTTTGTTTGGTATGTTTTTTGCGTATCGTAGTACAGTGCATCGGTTAGGTGAGGTCTAGCGATCGATAGAAAGCACCGTGCACGTCAATAGCACATGATAGGATTACATCAGTCGAGGTCGGAAATACTTCAGGCCAGATCAACATTCATAGCCTCAAAGAACGATTTAACGTACAAGCCAATGACTGTGGCGATCCTGACTGCAGGAGGTCCACCTGGTGTGTAACTTCAAGCGCTTCGAAGAATATGTTTACCTGAGTACACAAAAACGATCACATGTAATCCTTTTGTGATTGCAAGTTCTATGTGAGCCGATCGTGCGACTGAAGGAGAACAGTGTAGGCAGAAACCTTGGAGCTTTTTCCTAGTTTTTGTTCGGAGTAGTGACGGTGGAATGTTGATGATATCAGCAGACTACCAGTCCCCGGGGGAATTCCATATCACAGCTTATCTCACTGAAAAAGCCATTCCGTTTAATTCGATAAACAACTATAGAAAGCAGTCAGTCGGGTTCGTCCAGCAAATCACAGTGTATTAGGCAATAAAACCATAAATACATGTACAAGTCTGAGAAACCGCGACGGATTAAACTCTGAAGCGTGAGAAACCGATTGGCCATTCACACTAAACTACAGTCAAATAGTTCAACAAGCTTTCCATTACAAACAGAGTCTAAATCTGGTTCATTCAGGATTAGGAAACCAGTAGTGATCCATGGCAGAATACGACTAGGTATCATGTCTCTTTTCCGAAAATGTGAAACCGTTTTTGGACATGAATACCACCTAACGGACATCAACGTGGAAGTCACTGAGTCAAAAACATCATCAGTCCTGATTGCAGAAGACAACTCGGAAATATGACATTCATTCCATGAATACAGTTTGTCAGAATCAGTCCACGTGACTATCATTGGTGGCTTGATTGCGCTCTTGACTAGTTCGGTCCCTTGCGATTTTAGTACCATATCCACCGTATATGAATTAGTGGACTACTTGGCAGTTACTCACAGGGTACTTAGCCTAGTCAGATTAAACCGCTATGAGTAGAACGTCTGCTCCCTGAAACGCGCAAATAGGTTAGCCGAACAAGATGTTGGGCTATCCGTTGCCGATCATATTAAAAGAACGTGCTGTGTTGTCCATGGAAAGCCCAGGGAGCTGAATGCCTCGTTTCACTGCCACTCTAAATGGTTGTGTTAAATGTCACCTGTCAATGAGGTATGAACTCGCGTTGATTGCAAACAGAAACTTTTGCCAAACACAATGGGATAAGAGGGGAAATTACGACGACTTAGTGATTACAGTTTGGGTTGGGTCAGGTCAGCGAAGGTGGCTAGCATAAGCACGCGTCACAACCGCAATTCGCGTGATGGATGGTCAGCCGAATTTGTTGACGTGAACCAATCGGAGTATGACGTATGCCAGACAGCCAGCTTGAAACGCTAAGGTCACGTTACTCGACCGTCAGTTGGCTGATGAACGGGCTGGTGAAAAGTACCGGTCTGACGTAGTCATTCACCGCATTGTCCAGAAAATTATCACCATTCCTATGTATTTTCGTCACCGTGCGATTATATGGTCAAAACAACACAGTTAGATCGCATTTATGCAGATTCGGAAGTCTTTGTTTGATTTCTGTTAACCGTAAACAATCGATTTCTAGATGTGATCTTTTCGTAGCATTCAGCTTGCTTGTATTACAAGTGAACACCGGTCTTATTCATTCCGATCAACAGAGACATCACGGGTCACAAGTAAGACCTCACCCAGCCCCATGCAAACCGGTTACGTCTTCAGTTTTGTGGTCGACGAGACAATTAGGCAAACGCTGGAAAACATTCTTGATGTCCGAAGAGTTATCGAATAGGGATTGTCGACCTGGAATATCTTGTCTTTGAAGAAAAACAGAGAGTACTCATCAGAGTCGCTTTCTTCTTCAACAGGCCCTTTGCACCCAGTGAGCTCAGGGGCAAGCAGTAACTGAATATTCAAATCGCACTTGAATATAGATACTTGAGGTTGGAGAACCTGGCGCAAACCTTAAAAGTTGTGTTATCTCTGACCATGTTGTGACAGATAAAGTCAGTGTATGAGTCGCCAGGCCCCGGAACTTGTTTGCCAATTTGTGATAACACTAGCGATCAAGTGACGTACCTCCGAATCCCAGGTTTCAATGACCTGACAAATATCGGACAACAGAGTAGTGCTCTGAACTCAATCTGAACTGAATCGCACGTCGCTGATCAATCGGAGCAATTGATACCGTAACTATAGTCGACTTTGTTTTAGCTGGCACCCATTCGTTCTTGATGCGCATATCCAAGAGATTGCCTTTGGATGCCAGACCGATTGGAGCTGGAATGCGTGTGTATTAGACCAGCGAATCACTTATCATCTATTGCTAGGTAATTTGTCAGCCAAATGAACTATCCTAGGTGAAAAAAGAAAGATTGGTATAATCAGTAAGACTTAAGAACTGAAGTTTGTGCAACGTAATAGAAGACTGTGAAAATAAATGGGTTTTGAAAGCAAACGAACGCGAAAGGAGCAACGCTATAAAAGTCCGAGCTATGCAGAGAAACCCCGAATTCTGAAGGTTCTAGAAAGGACAACCAACGAACCTGAAGCATGCTTGCTTGATCAAGAAAGGCACTTTTCGAAAGTCTGCTCAGCTTTTTTCTGCTTCCAGGGAACGAAGAAATTCAGTTTATATTGCCTCACTGGTCGAGTATCAGTCACTTCAGCCCTCTCATTGAGCTTTAAAAGGATGCCGAAGCATCGGGAAACCTAACTAATTTTAACTTTTATGATAGTTTGTGGTTAGCTTTGTTGCAAGAAGATTGCCTCCTGCTCCAGTTAGCATGGTTTTAGGAATATCGAAGTGTGTTCCGTTGAGACAACCCACTACTCATAAGGTTGCCGAAAACTTTTAAGCACTTTTGGGCCAGTTCAAGGTATTGATTGTCTCCAGCAGTCAGGTGGACCACGCTGAGTTATGCACAAAAGCCCAAAAGTCCAGTCGTTCAAATGGAGGTTTGTCAACAAATGCGGTACTATGAATACAATGATAAAATACTAAAATCGTACAAACTTCAAATCGTACAATTACACCGGCTTCCATACAGCGGTTTGGGAACTGCTAATACCAGACGGGAACCCAGAGTTCACACCAACTCAAGGCAAGTTGGCCAGAAGATAACGAAACCCACGTATTGATTTAAACAACACGTGCGATGACTAGGCCAAAGCATGGTTTACGTTCAGGTCAAAACAAGAAAGAGAGTATGGGCGCAAAACGGAAACAACAAAGAGAAAAATCCCGTTCTACACCATAAGAATAGAAGATATGAATCAACGTGATGTAGAAGAAGTCCTAGAATAGTGAGCGATATCAACAAAATATTCGTTGACGTCTCGAAAACCGTACCAACTGAAACTCAATTGCGGAATATCATAAAGCGGAGGGGCCGTCTGACATCAGTGTGCAAATTGCAGGTGCGTGTATTTCTCGAGCTGCACACAATTTGGTGTTCAAGCAGAATCAAAGGTTGCTAAGCCTACCAGATGAGCTGTAAATAGTTCAAAACAGAAAATTAATAGCTCTCATCAGCCTCATCAATTGTATCGATTGGGCTTGCAAAGTGCTTCCTTCTGGGGGAAAACCCCTTGTTAACCAAAGTGCTCTCTGTCCCGTAGCCCAAAAATAGGTCTTCCATTTCAGCGAATATACACTCACTTGCAAACTAATTTGGTTTTTCGAGAGACTCACCTGGAACCCAGCTGAATCTCTCGTTTGTGATGTCCTCGGTCTTCTATTTTCTTTCACTCAACTTGGGGTCATTTCATTGGTCCTCACCAGATCGGCCATCACGGAAAGATCCATCTGTGAAGACCTGACGCAACACGTGACCAGTCAACATGTGACCATGTGATGCAAACTCCGTCACTCATGGGCGAGTCATGCTGCATCCAAGTGCGTGTTAGGCGCACTAACGATCATTCGCTTGTGGGTGGACAGCTTATTCTCCAACAGCTGGCTGTCTTTGAGCTTCCATCACCTCAGAGTTTGGTGGGTTCCACAAGGCTGATGACTCCCAATAAGAATGAAACAGTTGTCTTCTTGGCATTTCGAGGCAGACTGGTCCCAATTACAGCATGAAATCTCGGTTAAAATAGAAACATTAGCTTACATCCTGTTCACCTGTATTCGAATCAGATGCAGAGTCAACGTTTCGTTGAATCTAACCCGTATTGTCTACCTATCTGTGTCATCTTCAAGCTTGCAGAGTCACAGTCTGATGAATACTCATAAATAGTAGTTATGAGTTTTTGATGGAACACACTGGTACAGAATTCGCCATTGTCGCCGAGTGAAAAAATCCTGAGCTACTTTTTTGTTATCCTGCTAGCTGCCGTCCCGGTAGTCTGTACGCACAAGTCGTGCCGGAAATGAACCATTCGATTGCAGTGAAATTTAATCGAAAACAAACTGAGTCATTGTCTGCTGGAGAAGATAAGGAAACAGTAACTGACACTTTTGTCGCTCGATTGATTTCCTTCAAAATACTGTGACATCTCGAGGAACAGTAAAGTAGTATTTCTCATAGCATGATCGTCCAATAGCCTGGCTATTTGAGTGAACTTTCTTCAAGCGATTAAGCTCTCGACGCTTTTGAATTTCTGTAGTTTTGAGTAGGAATACCAAGGTAGCAGTGATAAAGCTCGCGTGATTTATTTTGTTACACATGAGTCATGGAATTACCCCATTGTGGGGAGAGTTCCGCGGTTACGCCGTATCACGGATGTGCATTGAAGGTTAATTTGACCTTTAAGCATCCTGGTTACAGCTCCACAAAATCACTGGCCATACTGGGAGAAATTCGGTCGTCTGTAGCACACTTTCGGTGCCTAGCAATCATGGAGCCAGAAGGAAGCACGAGGGCCTAGACAGGGGAAGTCAAGATCCAGAGGTCGGGTTCAATCCACGGACGTTGCGGTCAGCAAATCCGTGTTGTAGCCACTGGACCACCTTGCTCCAACGGCCACGTCAGATACTGTTAGCACTCCCTGCAGACCAAAAGCGTCACCATTTTCCAGCTCCTTGTGGAGGGTTCGCAGTTTTGCCCATCGATTCAAGGACCTGGACGAGGTTATCTCCGTGGGAAGGGGTCCTTACTCTGGTGCAGGGGGGGAGCAAATCTAGATGAGAACTGTACCTCGATATCTTGCACATCTTCCACACTGCCAAGAAATGACCAACTTTCTAACAAGCCACAGTCTATTTTGCAAAGCGGCTGCCTTTTTCTATTCTCCCCTTACCTACCCATCCCACGTCAACTGGCGTCAATGAGGTTTTTATCTTTTATTTTTTTGCTATTGCACTACACCAAGGAGAAGCAGCGGTAGGCGAGACACCGTAATATATGAGTCGAAACTCAGTTATCCGTAACAGCTGCATGTAACGTTTCTCCTTTAATTTCTCAAAAAAATGAACACGTATTGTGATACCAACCGTGATTATTTTATTGAAAACACTTGGTAAATAATTACGAACTTTGTTTCTGAAAAAAACATTGTTATTAAGTAACTTTTTCGTGAATCACATATCTGTATTCGTCCTACTAGTCAATGTTTTAGGGTGAGTTATTTGAGTAGGCTGTAAGTAGGCTGTAAGTAGTCTGTAATCAGGCTTTTAAACTACCAGCTGCATTCTTTACACTACGCACTGTGAGTCACATCGGAATTCTCACATGACTAAACTTACTGGCTTGACACAGCTTGATCACAGTTGATCCGAAATATAGTAGATTTGTAGGTAAACCCACTTTATTTCGAACGGTATCTATTCGCCCCCATGTTTACATGTTAATCAATTTAAACAAGCGAATTCAAGGTTGTTTATCCTATTGATTATTTGTCAGACTATTCACAAGACCTCCCATTACATTTTATCTCAAGAGGTGTATCATTGTGAAGATAACTTAATAAACTAATAAGCTTACTACTATGTTCTATTGAATACTGCCCAGGACATCTGGATGATGGATCACTCCAGTAGGACACATTCCGAAGCCAGAGATAGGGTTTTGCAGACGGGTCTATTGGTGACCTTGTGGTGAACGCGTTTTACAACAGTGGTCGGGTTGCATTGGAACAGTGCAGTTAAGCTCTGACGCGTCCGGTCGACAGTCCGGCCTGAAATGTTGCAGTCCAGACGTAGTACTCGCTGAATCGAGTTAAAGGAGACCTGAAGATGAGGATGGTATAATTCACTACAGCGCTGCTCTGCTGGCATGTGTGGGTTGTGGTTAAAAAGACGCACAGCCAATCTAATTACTATACAGCCAAAATAGTAGAAGGGAATCGGTTAAACTTGTCGACCATAAGCTAATCCCCCAAAGCAGAATATTGTGTAGTAACATCCCCTTCAAATTGATTTTGGTAGTTCACGTTAAATCTGATCAGCTGACCCAACAAATTTTGGCTACCAAAGGGTAAAACATGTGCACTGAACTGGTCTGAACTGGTCAACCGATAAATTAACACGGAGATGTTTCCCTTTGACGCCACTCAACAGAGTAGTGTTTTCTTTACTGATTCGTTTTGTCGTCAGCTCCGCCTTACCTCCTATATGGGCACACCGATCTACTTTTCGGGTGTGTCGCATTACCCGAGGGCCGTTTTCACTTTGGCTAAACCGGATGAAACGTTTCGCGATGCACACTGAACTTAGTTTTAACGAGCTACTCGAGTGAATTTCAGCTGAATATCATAAATCTGAGATTGAGCTAGAAGTCTGTTAAAACCTGTTCAAGGTTGACGGAAACTCGGGGACTGCGCCAATCTGATGAACCCCAAGAAGGACGAAACTGGTCGTAGGCTGTCGAAGAGTTTTCAGCAACCTTGTGAGTAGTTTCCTGTTAAATCCTGTTAAAACCAAGCTGGTGTGCAAATGTGTGGTGAACTTGTCGAACTTTGTACAATTTATGATCATATAGAACATAAGGTTGACGGAAGCCCAGGGACTGCACCTACCTGATATACTCCGACGACAGCGAAACCAGTTGTCGGCTGTTGAAGAGTTTTCAGCAACCATATGAGTAGTTCCCTTCAGGAGTCTACGTTCACAGCCTTGAACAGTTATTCCAAACTGAGAAAACGGCTCAGTTTCAAGAGTTTCAAACAGAAACGACTGCCCGTGGATGCTGGGCAAAGTTATGCACTTTGTCGAGGGGGAGGCGACATTTACATCAAAAATAATTCGACGCTCCACAGTGTCAAATGCGTCTTCTACGCAGTTCATTGTATCAGGTGATCATGCATTGAGCGTTTGTACTCAATAGGAATGGCCAAGCAACCGCTGGACCAATACAAACGAGGGTTTCGAAACTGGCAATAATATGAATGTGGATTTCTACTCTGCTTCGAGATCCCGACACAGTAATGAATAAGACCCGTGAACTACTGATGACAGTGATCACAGGGTGACTTCAAGCATTAGATTTTGAAGTTCGGCACAAACACACAAAGGGTTAAGGTCCTGGGTTAAATCCTGAGAAATCCAACGGCAGTGCCTATCTTTCTATAAACAGGGTGCGTATGGTCAAGATGTTTTGGAGACAAAAAATCCGAGAAGTCCGTGTGACGGAACGATGGAATACGTGCATTGGATTACCTTCAGGTTTGTATGGTGTTTTTTGCGTGAGCCGACCGAATAAACACATGGCGTTACACATTAACACCATGAAATGTAAACAGTGGTGTGGCAGCCAGAGTACGAAACACCTGTTCCACGTTGCACCCTTGAAATGGCCTGTGTGTGTTCCCCGATTCCGGTTGGCATGTAACGCTTTGACAAGCCACGAGTAACTCGTTTCTTCCTTTTTTAGAGAAACAGATGACGGACTGTTAAACTGTTCGCACTTGATATTGGTCTACTGGCAAATAGCAACTAAGGCGTACATCAAAACCAGAGGACGGTTCAGCATAAGGGGTCTGCCATTCTGTCAGACGGTGGTGACTGACACACATTCACCTGAGTGGGAATCAAACCCTTCGCCAAATTGGAGGGTTTCCCATCTTCATCTCGGGAATGAAAAGTCTAATGTTACTGTTTTTGACTGATTATATTTTTAGGCACTGAGGCTCTTCGGTTCGTACTCGCCATTGATTTCAATGTGTATCATGAATACTGTTCGTTCGTGCTAATGTATTTCTAATCAGTGAACACCACTCAGTCGAATGTTGTCTTTCGTCCATTGAGTACACATCACTCGTAAACAAGACTAAAACAAACGCAAGCACTATTCATGTCTACCAATCGATCGTCGATGCAAGTGACGGAGGAACTCAACTTTGGTTTCTAAATAAAGTAACCGTATGATCGAGTACAGACAGTCCGGCTCAGTCGCTGCCGATTCGACTCTAATCCATATCGGCCATAGAGAAAAGACTGACAAAAACGGGTCTGAGTGTTTGTACCAAACTTGGATAAGTATTTCGTCCCTGGTCTCCATACGGTCGACCGTTTCGGTCGATCGTTGCGGAAAACTGGAAAAGTACACCGCAGTTTCGTACCACAAGTGTGTAAAACTACCTGAACAGTCACACGTTAGCAGGAGTGTCTGGATTACTATGCCAATCACATTTTCATTCGCGCGTGGACGTGAATTAAACAAAAATTTTAACTTTCCTCAGTTTGCTTATATGCTTCATTGTTCAACTTTTGAAGTTGAAGTCTTTAATATAGGGAATCAGTCTACGCACGAGAATATCCCCCTCGTCTCGTCGCCCAAATCATCTCTAGGTGTTTTTGTTGTATTTGTAGCATACCACTGTTCCTCGAGTTGCCCGCTTCTACTGATAATGCTGTTATCCAAGTTGGTCCACACCAACGCTGCACCGAATTCGAGTTTTATCCCTCACTGTCAGTGCGTAATCCTGATCTTATCCGGGATTCGTACTCCGAATAGCTGCTATTCGTGGCGAACATGTTGCAATCTATCCACCAACAAGTAGTACGTCTAAGCAGACGAACGTGCATGGACTAGTTCTAACTCACAAATTGTGAAAGATGAAAGTTCACTCAATGTTTCCAAGACCAGAGATTCCTTGTCCACCGAGGCTCCGTACAACAACTTCAACTACCTTGAAGCAGCCATTTCTTGGTACGCATATATCCCCCGGATCAAAAGTCCTGTCCGGAATCAAATTTGAAAACCTTGCATAATGAGTCATGGTCAGTATCCAGAATGTCACTGGCTCTGTAGACAGATGTGATCAACTTATGTGAGTATCGTCCAAGGTCTCTGGGGCTCCGGTAAGGTCTAGTCTATTAATCATCAAGTAAGAAGTTAAACACAAGACAAGTGACATTTGCCACCAGCCGTCATATGAGTCAAGGTTTTTATGCTTACTTCGTGTAAAGGTCAAAAAAGCTTGTGACTTTTCTAGCAAGCATGAGTCACTGGCCACCCAGTTCCCTTGGACTGCTAGAACCTGAGGGTATAGTGAATGACACACAACTGCGAACAATCAGGGTCAAACCACCAACTACCCGAATTCTTCCAGGGAAAACAAAGTAAGTAAGATAATTCTGGTGGTAGAAGCTATTCAGAGACGACCTTATTTAGTAATATAATCAATGTTCAATCCTGTCTTTTCTCTGATTGGCTTTTGAAGTTCGTCGCTTGCCTCATACTGGCAGCTAATTGCACCCATGTATGTTATTTATTGCATCTGGTCGCGTTGTGTAAACTAACCGGTCTGGCGAAAGATTGATGGGAAATGACTGCTGCAATTCGGCCGAACGCGAGGCGTTTCTTTTGAAGACATTGGCAAAAATCTTGGACAGGATAACCAATCAATTCTAAGAAAAAAATTGACTATCCAAGAACAGCGTATCACTTTTCGCGAAGGATGGAGTACAAATCGTACGGTTTGGTTCAAAGGGAGAAAAGAACCGTCAAAATGGGAAAATAGTGGTGACAAGATGTCTCGACAAATGAAGCCCTATGGCATGCGTAAATGATTGGCAGCTCAGCAACTACACCGAGCTATTCTCCTCGAATGAGCTCGACTTATTCGTTTGACAGCATGTTTTGTGGTGTTCACATTGATCTTAACTTTCTGTTGGAAGCTCATCTTGGAGCACAGAGCTTGGTGACATGGTCCAACAGCAGCGTAGCACGGCTGCAATCAGGTGTACCTTGGTCCAACGCCCAGAAATTACTCACATCTTGTTCACATGATCTCATTGCTGATGTCTGATGCACTGTGATTTCAACCTTCATATAAGTACACTGATTTGCATACCAATCTGGTCATCACAGAAGACCAAAGTGAATCTCTCGTTTGCGAATGAATTTGCTGCACCAGTCTACCTCACGTTTTAGTTGGTACGACACGCCGGGCTGAGGGAAACTTCGGGGCAGGGCTTACCTGATGAGCCTGAATCGGAAGGTCAAAACTGATCGTGGACTGTCGATGAGTTTTCAGTTGCCTTATGGGAGGTGCGTCACATCTATACAATGTATTGCGACACTGGCGTACCAATTGAAACATGTGACGGCCTCATGCAGCACGTTCAACCGACGAACATCATAAAGGGGGAGATTCGGTTGGGTCTCCCGTGAAAACCAAATAGGTATGTAATTAAGTGCATTTTGCTAGTTTCGTGCAATTTGGATTCAAGTAAACACGAATTGATGGAGGTTCGAGGACTGCAACTGACTGATGAGCCCGAATAGGAGGGTCGAAACTGTTCGTGTGCTGTCGAAGAGTTTCCGGCGCCCTTTTGAGTAGCTTGATCGGATATTGTTGGTATAACTAGTCCCGAAAGGGGAGGACAGAGCTGCAGGGAAGTGGCTGGGAAACTGACTAATTTTCAATAGTAGGACGTATTTAACACAGCAGGCGGTCCTTTAACAGGTTGGTTCGTTCTGGCAACAATGTCAGCTGATTTGAGCACCCTGGCATATTTGTAGCCTCCAGTATCTTACAGTTTTTGCTCTTTCTCTATTGAACCTGTTTGGTGAAACTTCAATAGGTGAAACATCATCGATCCTCAGTTTTAGTGAGCTTCTTCCTCCATTTGTAATGACACGCTTGCCGCGCACGTCAGATGTGCGGAGTTCAAACCTCGACATGGCTAAGACACTACTGAGAGCTCTAATAAGAGCGAAGCAACTCGAGTCCAGAGCTTCCCCCATTGGGTGTGGACTCATCAGAGAGATTGCTGCAGGACATGAGGAAGAGGACTGTTCAAACGGAAGGGATGTGAAAACACATTCCAATTAAACAGGGAATGTACATAGGATTATACAAGTGTGAAACCCACAGCTTATTGAGCCTCGTAAGCTACGAGCCTTCGATTGGGCATTACAGAATCAGACATACTTAATCCATATTTCTGTCCAATCAAATATTTCTTATAGGATTGACTTTCTGAGGTAGATTTGACAAGTATGCTGTTGCGCAACACCACTGGACACAATGAATTAGTGGACCTCCTACGTAATGTGACATTATCTAATAGCAAATAAGTCTTTGCGTATCTTTGGATCCTCAACCACGTCTACTTTGTGTGAAGCTCAATATCTGGCATCGAGAAAAAACCTCCCAGTCCGTTTGCTTTTTGGACATGACAAGATGACTGGGTGATTGGCCAAATGGGCCAAGATTTCATCAAGTCAAGAATTGTGCTTCTGTTCCCCCGAGTCAACCGAAATACATTCGAGTAACTAGCGCAACTAACTAGTTCCTGGTCTAATCCAGTTGCTGGATTCTGGAACAGATGGTGTGGAAGTTACTCTGAACAGCGATGTTGCAGCAATGCGCCCGAGCGCATGAAGATTGCGGAGCTTATGAAGACGAATTTGGTTGGCAATTGTTGAGTCTCCAGGTGAGATAAGCGCCATATCAAAGTCGGTTTCATGAAAACTTGCAGAAAGTGAAAAAACGCGGGTATGGTTGCAATCAAAGCTGCACTTAGTGTTATGTTTCGATAACGCAGCGAGCAAACGACAATATGAGCAGACCGTGACGATATTCTGTCCCCAGCTATGTTGTCTGATCCCTAGTCCTAGCACAGCGGTGACCTGGAATGTTGGTCTGGAAAGTAGCCAGCACACTGAGAAAGGAGCCAACAGGGTGCGATTTTGGTTTGGGGTGAACGCGCGATGACGGCTTGGAAACACCAGAGGCTGTAGGCATCCGTGACTGACAATGCCCATCTTTGTGTCCCACGGACTTACATTGGCGGCACCGATGCTGCATGTAGGGGGGAGAACCTGACGAAGTACA